TCTTTTTAAACTATGTATGGTTTCTATGTTTTTTGTAACTTTGTTTGTTTGTTTGTTTGTTTTTCCCTCCCTTGAGTTGTGAGCCGCCCTGAGTCCCTTTCAGGGAAAAGGGCGGCATACAAATAAAATTAAAATGAAAAAAAAAAAAAATTTCAATGGTTTTTGCAAAAAAAACCAAAACCAAACCAAGCCCTGGCAAAAAACACCAAACATTGTGGCTGCAAAAGAGCCATATGTGAGTCAGTTATCAAGCATCGAAAATGCAAATATGATTGTGTGTGTGTGTGTGTGTGTGTGTGTGTGTGTGTGTGTGTGTGTTTTCCCCTGTTAGAACTCCAAAACCAGGTTGTAAGTAGCTCTGGAGATTTTTTGTGATAGCTTGAAACAGTTGCTAAGCAATCAATTGTTAAACAACATGTAAACCATCCCCAATTTTCCACAAGTTGGAAGGGTCATTTAGGTCACTGACTTCAAACTCCTGCCCAGTGCAAGTATCTAGATTAAAACTTTCTTGAGAGATGATTGCAAGCTTGTTTGCACTCACACTGCTCTTCCCATTACAAAATTTACTCCAACATTCAGTTAGAATTTACTTTTCTGTACTTACCTTCATTATCCTAATGCAGGCAAGAAAGAACGCGTTCTTCTATGGGACATTTTTTCTAATATTTGAAAGGTGGTATCATATTTTCCCTCTGTAGCAGAGGTGGGTTGCTCCCTGTTCAGCCCAAATCGGGGGAACCAGTAATAGCGACATGCACACGAGTGTGCAAGAGCATGCGAGCGACCCGGTAGTAAAAAATTTGGAAACTCACCACTGCTCTGTAGGAGTATCCACATAGGGAATCAAAAAAGTGGAGTGTGAGAATGAGAAAGTCCTGACCTCTATTAACCCCCCCTTGCTACGGATGCTCTGATCTGTCATTTTTTATCAAATATAAACATACCAATCTCATTCAATCTCTTTTCTTAGGATTCAGTTCCAGTTTTTCCACAATCTTCTTAAGTTGTATTACCTGGGACTGGAGATAATATTTTAGATAGAGTCTGAACAATTTGGATTACCATTCAGTCTATGGAGATTTTCAGTCATCGAGTCATGGTTGTCCCAAAGGTGCTTTTTTCAAGCGGCAATTGGACTTTCTGTTTTTTTTTTTTTTTTTTGAGAAGACGTTTCGTTTCTCATCCAAGAAGCTCCTTCAGCTTGAGCATGGTCAACATTTGGATGCTTGGCAACTGACTCATATTTATGATGATTGCAGTGTCTTTGGGGAAGCCAGATTCACTTAACAACTATGTTACTAACTTTACAAATGCAGTGATTCATTTAACAACTATGGCAAAAAAATTCATAAAATAAAATGGAGCAAAATTTGCTTAACAACTGTCTTGCTTAGCAATGGAAATTTTGGGCTCAATTGTGGTTGTAATTTAAAGACATGTAGTAACAGTAGCAGTAAAAATAAGTATTCCTCTTTCATAGATTTCTATTTTTGAAAAATGAACTCCGATATTTCTTTATGCATACCTACAGAGAGATGTAGTGCATGATTATATATAAAATCCTTCAAGCTAAACCATTAAATTCTTTCAGCCATTCCATCAAAACCATTAAAAATGACTTTCTGAGAGTTGTATAGGTCAACAAGATCCCAAAGCCTCCATATTATTTTATATCAGTGTTAAAAATACACTATAACCTTTAATTGCATGTCAGTTTATTCGTGGTTAAAGGAGCTAACAGACACTGAACTATAAAAATTCATCACCTTGGGAGAAAATGTGATTAATTGGTTTGCTATTCACATTGTGCTGTGTAAATACGGGCAGATTTTGATTAATGCATTGTTGAAAGAAATGTCCTTCTGGGTTTGGCTCCAAGTGGGGGAAAAGACACTGGAGACATGGAGGCTGCTTGGAAAGATGGTTTAATGGTGGACAGAACCACATGGCTTGAGTCCTGAACAGAAAAGGTAATCACATGCTTCAATGTTGGTGGAGAAGGCCGAGGAAGGGGCTTGCTGAGCTTTTTATCATCTGTTCAGCCCCACCTATTTCCTGTTCTTGTATAAGAAATGTATTCTGATTGGTTGGCAGACTCCCATGGGGTCACAGGGGCAACTCTCTTGGCTGTGTTTTGAATCCAGGTTTGGTTGAGTTCTCAGATGCCATGTGGTGAGTGGGTAAAGGCTAATCATGCCTTAATCCCATCATCCTGGAGCTGAAGGGGAGAACTCTTTATTATGTAAAGGGGCTGGCTTGGCCTTCTTAATGGCCCATTGACAAAGAGGGTGGGGGCAAGAAGCTGCAGGGAGCTACTCTGTCTTTAAAACATGTTTTTCCCTTTTCACATCCAGGGAAATGTAATAGTCTGCCTTTTTCAATATTTCCTAGAATATTTCATTTTTCTGGGTGGGGGCTGGGTGATAACTTCCTACAGCATAAAGGCATAACCTCGGTCAGGCATCAATTATTATACGTCTCCTATAATTCGTACTTCGATGGAAGGACTCAATTGGCTTTTCAGTCAAGCTCTTTAGCAGTTGGTTTATTGTTTGTCTTTTTTGCATAAACTTTCCCCCCTACAGCAAGAAGTTTGGTCTCAATAAAAACCTTTCCCCTCTCTGCTTTATTCTACCTCTCCTAGCCACCACGTCTAAGTGTTGACACTGTGAACCGGAATTACAGGTTTAAACCTACATCCCAAAGATGCATTTTTTTTCAACTAAACTTTCTGGTTTTTCTTTGAAGACATTTTGCTTCTCATCCAAGAAGCTTCTTCAGCTTCGCTTAATTTCTTGGATGGGAAGTGAAACATCTTCAGAGAAAAAAACCCCAGAAAGTCCAGCTGCCTCTTGAAAAAAAGCACCTTTGGGACAATCACGACCTGGATGACTGAAAATCTCCACAGACACTTTAAACCTATAGAACAGGAATCCCCAAACTTGGGAACTTTTAAGACTTGTGGAGCTTTGCGAGCTGGAGAATTCTGGGAGTTGAAGTCAACAAGTCTTAAAGTTGCCAAGTTTGAAGACTTCTGCTGTAGAGATTACGATCTTTGGTGGGTGGTGCTTCGCCCGAGAAATCCCACGCATGCTCACTCTTCCTTCCTCCCCCCTTCTCTCCTCGACAGGAAAAAGCCTCGGTGAGGCTGACCGAAGCGTTTCCGGGTTATGACCCGGTTCTCCTGGAAACAGTCTCTTCCCGTTAGTTGGTGTTTTGGTGAGTGTCGGGCATTGCACGGGCGGTTGTTAGTTTCGTTGTGGATGCGCAACTGTGGGTCGTTCCTGTTGCGCCTGGGACGGCGGGATGGGTTTCGTCACCTAGGAAGCAGGTGACAGTCGAAGTACGGAATTCATTGCAGCCGCGTCCTGGGGAGATGTACTTAGCAGGCATCCTATTGAGTTCAATGGCGCTTAGTTTTGGATGCCGAAATCAACCGGTTCAAAAATCCAACTAATTGGAGGGATGGCTTTCCCCCCCCCCCTCTTTTGCTCTGTTTTTGGCAGCGTATGAATAATTTGGGGTGAGGGGAAGTGTTAGGCGTGGCTGCTTTCTTCCATTCTATTAAGACTATGGAAGCGCAGGGAGATTCCCCTCGCCCAGTGGCTAGCTAGGAGATTTTATTTTATTTATTTGTATCGTTTTACCAACAGCCCAAGGCGGTGATGACATATCCCAACACACCTTCCTTCTCCTATTTCCCCCCAAACAACAACAACCACCAGTGAGTGAGATGGGTTGGGCTTAGAAAGAGTGACTGAAAGCCCAAAGTCACCCAACTGGCTTCCCCTGCTAAGTCGCCCAACTGGCTTCCCTCTGCGCATCCACAACCAAACTAACTTCCCCTGTTTGATGTCTCAATCTTCTGCTTTAAAACCTATGCCTTAACCATTAGACTGAACTGTCTTTTCTGAAATGCACTGAGAGAAGAGAAACATCACAGACATCTTTTCACATCACATGGATCAGCACAGTTTGGATTTGGTCAGCGTCGGAGGTTGTGATAGGCATCTGTCATCAACAGTGTATATATGTATGTACGTATGTATGTGTATATATATATGTTATAGCTTCAGTAAACTATTCAATCGCCTTTGCCACGACAAGGCAGTAATCCATGAAGGGGCAACATACACACACACACATACACACGCATACATACATACATACATACATACATACATACATACATACATACATACAGAATGAGAATGAATCAATCAATCAGAGGTTTTTTGGCCTCATCCGACTAAGCAATTTTCAAGAGAGACAGATACACCCATTTTGGAGCAAAGTGCAAGCATAGATTGTGCAATTCACCTTTCTTCAAATGGTTAAATGCAGCACTGCAGGCTACTTCAGCTGACTGCAGTTCTGTAGTTCGGCTGTTCAAATCTCACCAGCTCAGGGTTGACTCAGCCTTCCATCCTTCCGAGGTAGGTAAAATGAGGACCCAGATTGTTGTTGGGGGCAATATGCTGACTCTGTAAACCACTTAGAGAGGGCTGAAAGCCCTATGAAGCGGTATATAAGTCTAACTGCTATTGCTATTGCCAGCAGCTTTCAAATATCACTATAGCAGAGTGTGGACATTCTAAGAAACCCCAGGCTGTTAATGTCAGGAAAGATTGCTGACAGCTGAAATTTCCAGAAGCTGCTGCTGAAATATTTGCCTCTCCCCCCCCACCATGTCCAATGTGATCTGCAGATGTGTATAATATAAGTCAAAGTGTTGGAGAAGTGAGATATTCACTTTTTGATTGCTTTAAGATAAGCAGTTGAACTGCAACGTTCAATTTAGAAATCCCTTTTGAAATTAAGCAGAAGGAATTATTAACAAAAGTAATAATCTCTGGGTAATCTAATCAACCGAATTAGAAACAAGAGTTGCCAAAGTGATGTGCTTGCAGCATGTATTTCATGGATGTTCATTTGAAAACCAAACTCATGTACAGGGTTGTCGTAGAGTCATAAATTGCAAGAATTCCTTTAATTAGAAATTGTTTGTTTAGTATAAGCCTTACATTGCTTGGAATGGTAAATTGTCAATTCCCATAAGTACCAATCCAAATATTCTGAGCAGTTGAGAATTTAGGAGATAAATTTTCCCGTGATCATGTGATCATGTTTATCCCACATTTTCTCATAATTGTGTATAATTAAGTTTGCTGTTAAATATTATTACTGGAAAATGAGAATTATCTGCTATTTGACACATCTAAATAGACATTAGCACAATAGTTTACTACTGTCCAAAAATCTATTTGTAAAAGTTGGTGATCAGCTTGGTCATTTTTCTTTGTCTGCATTTTGTCACGTTTTTCCCCCCAGATATTTCTCTAACCAATGTCAGGAGATAGTGATGGCACCGTTAGAAGTCCCTCTGAGGGATCTCTGTCAGGAATTGAGATCCTGCCAGTGCAGAAAACATATGTGTGTACCCTGTCTGCTGAGCTTATTGCCAAAGCACGTGAAGAGCTGCAGGAAAAACCCGAGTGGCGGCTTCGAGATGTTCAAGCCCTCAGAGACATGGTGTGCAAAGATTATCCTAATCTGGGGACATGCCTAGATGATGCTTTCTTGCTTAGGTTCCTTAGAGCAAGGAAATTTGATTATGATCGGGCACTTCAGCTTCTTGTGAACTATCATTGCTGTAGGAGAAGTTGGCCTGAGGTTTTTACAAATCTGAAGCCATCTGCTATAAAGGCTGTCTTGGAATCTGGCTTTGTCACTGTGCTTTCTCATTTAGATAATGAAGGACGCCATGTTGTCTGTATTCGCCCAGGTATGATTAACTTTTTAAGATGGATGAATCTTTTGTTTGCTTTCTTATTTATTTGATTTATGCCCACTTTATATTGTTTGTTTGTTTATTTGATAGCCTGTCTTTATTTTGTACAGTCAAGGTACTATATGTGCCATTCTGTCCTCCTATTTTCCCCACACCTGTTCAATAAATATATCAGTACATATTACTATATCTTCAATTAACATAATTTTGTTTAGTAGTGTTTAATTAAGTAATATAATTCTAAAAGATTATTGTTCTGAGGATTATTTGTATAATCTTTGTATATTTGTATAGGACTGCAAATCTCAGCATTCATTTTCTTATAAGTATTAATTCAGTTTGATCTTAGGAGTCCAACCATGAAAGGTTTGTCCAATGTGACTGTTTAATTATGTTTCTTAAAACAGCAGGATTTTTCTGAAATAAGAGGTAATGGGAGCTTAGAAAAAGATTTTTACAGGATTATTAATAATTGTTAAAACATTCAGGTTGGTAATGTACTTTGTTTTTCTTTTAACTTTTAACTTCTGTCTCTGTCTTATTAATCATAGACAAATGGACACCAAGTAATTATCCAATTACTGAAAACGTTCGTGCCATGTACTTGACATTAGAAAAACTCATTCAGTCTGAGGAGACCCAAGTGAATGGAATTGTAATTCTTGCAGACTACAAAGGGCTCGGTTTATCTAAGGCATCTCACTTTGGCCCCTTCATAGCGAAAAAAATGGTTGGAATACTCCAGGTAAGATTTAAACCATTAAAGGAAAAATATTCAATATAAATTATTGATTCTTCTGATTCTCAGTGGTGCAAATCAGGACCTTTTGGGGAGAGTGGGGGAAATAATGCAAAATATAAATGCTTTGGTCATTTTTTGCAAGGGAAATATTACAAAGTTAATATTTGTGGTTCCAATAATAGATGTTGGGAAAAAAAACAGAAGCTTTCCAGGCACACTTTTCTTCTATGAATTACTATGAGGTTTTTTTTTTAACATGGCTTTTAGATAAATAATTTCTGATTATTTATATAATTGCCATTGACATTTCTGTCTGTCTATATATTTTCACCCAAAGGTAGATATGACAGCTCAGAGAGCTATAAAGACATTTTTGTATGGAGCCTTTGAAGTTTCCTGATTGCCTTATTGTGTTGTCTTTCTTGTGCTCTGATAGGCTCTTCTTTACTTTCCCTTTTGTGGCTTTTATGCTACAGAGAAGAATGGAAAAGGGAAAAATAAGTCTTTTTTGAGCTTCTTGGAATTTCAGGGCCTTTGGCAAGCTGTTCTCACTGACGCCTGCTCTGTCCTGTCCAAATCCAGAAGTTTTTTCCATGAGCCAATTCGTTCTGTAGCTCTCAGGGCTTGTTTGCTATCAGGTTTTCCACTGCAGATTTCTCCTCCTGCTGTGCCTGGATTCACAGGGCTGTCAAACATGTCGTCACAGAAGTGACATGTAACGTATTGGAACTTTTTCCTCCTTCGCTAAACCAGGTGTAGGTGTGACTAGTATGCGATGCATCCGGCCAGAGGCCGGGAGTTTGACAGGCCTGGCATAGCACATCCATTGCATTAAGCAATCTAACAACATTACTGACTTCCAATATCCTCTGTTGCCTAACATTTCTGTCTGTCTATATATTTTCACCCAAAAGTAGATATGACAGCTCTGAGAGTTTTAACTGGGTAGAAAACTTCTAGTTCTCTGTGTGATTGTTTGCTTGGTGCTGACAAAAAGGAAAAAAGACCTTTAAGCTTGAGGCCAAATAAACTCAACAACTCCTGTAAAATATTTTAAATAAATTGCTGATGAACAGTTCCGTTTCTTCCTGTGACTTTTTAATCTAAAATATAAGCTATAATTGCACTCCTTCTAAGCCTGGTCCCCATTTTTATAAATCGATGTGTAGCTAGATGTCTAACATTTTAAGTATTGTAAGAAAAGCTGACTAGCCTCAAGTATGGTGATTTAATAAATAAATTTCAACTAAAGAGTGAAGCATAAGTAATGTGTTTTATCTGGGGGTTGTCTGTAATTTTGTCTTTTAAAAAACATTTTAAACTCTTAGGAAATACCTAGGAAATACCAAATAGTAGATAGGAGGTAATGAGGAAACAATATTGGTCAGTTTAATATAGATAAGAATGTTGTTAGTATGAAAAAAATCTAACTTATTAGTTTTAGCCTTACATAATGTGGCAGACATAAATTGAAACTAGTATTCTGTTACTGGCTTTGATACAGGGAAGAAGTTGTTTAGTAATGCATTGTTTCATAGTAGCTGCAGTTGCAGCAAGTGCCTATTTTGCTATGAATATGGAGGGTTGTTTTTCTGCATT